GTAATTTAATTAAAAATGAAAATGTTCCATATAATATTTGAAGATGGAATTTATATTATTATGAGTGTAGGATACTATCAAAGGGGATGGATTGTTTACGTATTACTTAAGAACTGCATTGATCGAATAGCTTTAATTTGTTCCATATCAATTGAAATTGTAGGGTTGTTCGAGATCAAAAAGGGTCTTTCATAATCAACCGCTGTCACGTGCTGACTTTGGACTAAAAACCAATATAGTCATTCGTGAACGTCTACTGGCTATGTATTAACGTATCTTTATTACCTCGTAATAAATTGACGATCGCTTACTTCCGGGGGCGGTAAAGCGACGAGATCTTTAGACAATAGACGATGATTCGTTTTATCCTGCCGATTAAAATTGATTCCACGTCGAAAGTTATACATATCATTAGCATAAAAAGAAAATTTCGTTTCATGACACAAAAGAATTAGAAACAGAAAAAGAACAGGGAACATAAATGAGATGAAGATCGAACGCGATGACGAATCTGAAATAGGAAAACATTTCTAACGATAATTTCTAATTAAGTAAAAAGAATTCTTGACGAGATTTCTAATTAATTTAACAGAAAAGATTAATTGCTTCCAAATACAGCAATAACAGCAAAGAAATGAAACGGAGACTTAATTTTATATACTTTCGTGCTTCTTATGCTAATATTAATAAAACAATTATAGTAAAATAAAATTTTTCCGATTTTCTATTGTTTATGAAAACGAAAAAAAAAAACATATTCTTTGCATAAATTAAGAAACGAGTGTATATGAGTTTATAAGTAATTTAAAAATAAATTTTCATGTGCAATATGATTTTTTGAAAGCTCCAAGTAAGCAGATACTGGTTTTAGAAAGTAATCAAAGTAAAGTAAATTATTCAGGAATTTCACTTGAACTTAATTTTAAGGCTTAAATAAAATAGAATATTGTTGATGATAAATTTGTTCATGATTGTTTTAAAGATTATGTTACAAGGGAACAGATGTACACTTTTCTCCTAAAACTGCTCTAGACTATACAAGGTGTCCTAGCTGAAGTCCCATAGTCTCTATGGTCTCCATAGATTCCCATAGTCTCTATAGAGTCTCTATAGATTCCCATAGTCTCTTTAGAGTCTCTATAGATTCTCTATAGATTCTCATAGTCTCTATTGAGTCCCATTCGGACTTAAAGAAAAGGAAAGAAAATGAAATTGAAATGAAATTGAAACGAAAGAAGAAAAGTTTGCATGAACCTTGTATATTTATGTATACTAATTACCACTGTATGTGTAAGATATTGATGATGACGATGATGACTGATGACCGCTGTTATGTGGGTGATTCTAGTGGGGCCTGTGTTCGGGGGCCGATGCGGCGCGGAGGCGCTCGGGCTGGGGTTAGGGCTGTCACTGGGCCCGGCCTACAGGTTCGCTCTGCCCCCGGGACTCGCTGCCAAGACCACCCGCTGCCTTGTATTCGACCAAGGTAGGCCTACCAGCCATCTTCATTACCGCTAGAAATCATCTCAGATAGAACACTTCCGTTTCCCTAGCTTTCCAACACACTCGAAACATCCTCTACGCTCTTTTCCCTTTCAAATTCAAGCATTTATACGACCTTTAACCCCTTTACAAAAAAAGGAAGAGAATCCAAATTTTTTGAATAATTTTGATCGATTTGAAAGTTTGACAAATTGCCGCTTGTAGGTTAAGATGCCAAGGAAGCGTCGACTTCAGGCTTTTTTTTTTTGAACGAATTCAGTTTGAAATACGGGTGTAATATTTATCGGGTCAGATTTTTTACGAGGAAGAAGAATCGATACTTTTCTTTGTGATTTGAGCTGAGTTGAGTTGATTTTCTCTCATAATTCGAGCCGTTCAGAGGCCAAAGTGGCTAACTCCGTCAAATTAAGCATCAAACTTGTGCCTTGATGCTAAAATTGGAAGAATGTCAAAAAGCGGAGTTAATTACTGTGGCGTCTGAGTGACTCGATAAATGCTCTTCTCGTCGTGTTTTCTGATGTGACAATGATAACGATAATAGACAAGTTCTATCTGAGATTGAAAAGGTTCAAGAATAAATATTTTTTCACTAATAGTATGCTATCTGTTACTAATTTACTCACTATAGATGTCTGTAACCAATTCTGTGTTGACTTTTACTTATACCTTAAGGTGGAAACATTCCAAGTGAGATTTTAACCTGACTCAACGCTCACTAAATTCTCTTCAAAATGTGACATTATCGATATTTATCAACGTAAACGTGTTAGCTGAAGCAACAGTTTGTAGGGAATCTTTAAATTTGATTTTCTCGAAAACTGAGCTTCTTATGAACAAATTCTATTTTTACATGTAAAATCATCCCTTGTCTCACTCTTCATATCTTTGAACGAATAGTTTAAACAATTCCTATTAGGATATCGTTGAGGAACAAAAAATGTTTTATCTATTGATTGCAATAATAAGATCACGTTACTGATAATAATGAACATTTAACCCTTTCATTGCTATTGGCCTCTAAAAGGCGCTTCGAAAATTTGTCTGCACTGTGCAATTGGAGCCATTTAGGCGCACTTTAGTCTCAATTTAAGCCTCAGTTCTATCCGTTTTCACACTTTAATTCAGCGAAACAAATTTCGAAACGATACGGTCTAAAGTCTGCTGCAGCGAAAGGGTTAATGAATCAACGAACGTTGAAATAAGAAAATAGTAGGTTTTTTTAGGTGCGATTGCAAGTGTCGAATCGATTGTCGTGAACTTAACTTATATCCGAGTACTTAGAGGTAGGGTACTTGTGTGAAACACGGCTGATTTCAAGATTAGATCGTCTTGACGATGAATTAGGATCAGAATATCGATTTTACTGTTCATTTCCGCAATTCCCTGCGCTTAGAGTGGGCCATCGATCCCCGCAATCCAGCTACAAGATCGACTTGCGCGTTTACACAGACTAAGCCTACGAGCTATGCTCATCTTCATGTCCACAAATCTAACAAGACCTATTGTAAACGAGCCTGTGCTTTCGTCAGGCTACTCTAGACTGGTTAACAACAGTAATATACAGCGATGTACATTGGGACTAAGCACCTGTGAACAACCTGAAAACTGTCCTCCCCGATTTTCTGGCCGTGTCTGTGCTCTAATAGAAAGTTGCATAAAACAATTTAGTTATTAGAGAAATTTATTAGATTAATTATTAGAAGAATGTTGAGATGATGTTTCTCGATGAAAATTCGCGATCTCTCCCTGTCGTCTCTTCGTGAAAATATGTTTGGAACCAAGTATTGTATAGTTAAATTACAAATGCATCGTGGAGATGAAGGGAAAAATTTCTCAGCACAGATGCACATGCATAATTTGTATCGTGTAAATTTCCGGTTCCGAAAGTTGATAAATTATGCATTGGATGGCGATGCGCAAACATACACGTGACTTAGCTATGAGAGGAGAATTTCCAGTGGCTTGTTCCACCTTTCTTTCTCTCCTCGATCATCGTAGCGTGGAAACGACGAGGATTTTACTGAAGAACGGAGATATTATTTTTCATAAACGCAGCGTAAATGGTCGTTTCACGTGATTGCATGGATCCTCCCGGGATGAACACGTTCTTGGTTACACTCTAGTTGAGACGGAGAGGGTAATTCCGGCGATCCTGTTTGCTCGTCTCTCTTCTTTTTTCTGCCTAGCTCTATCTCGAGTAAGCTAAACTATGATAAGCATATGTTTTGGTTAACGATAGTTTCGATCCTTTCTGGAATTAGGAAAATAGGAAAAATAAACGATTCCGGAGATGTGTTCTTTCTCTTTGCGATTCCAGCTTAGTCTGCGTTTTTTTTTCAAACATATTTTCAACCAGTTCGCACGATTTTTCAGTCGTGTGACGAAAAGTTTTCAAGAAAAACTTCGAAATTATGTTTTCATAGGAACACTATGGTTAACTTGAGATTTTCAAATAGGATCCAATATTTTTTCTCGTCATGTTGTAGGGGAAATTAAGACAAATTCAAAAAGTATGTAACGTCATATTTATTATAGCAGTGGAAATAGGAATATTTAATTTTTCGTCGTATTATACCTACTTTGCATCATACTGCATGCAATTTTAAGAAAAAAGCACAATAATTGACAAAATTTGTATTAAGAAAGGAAGCTAAACTCAGTAGACAAGAAATAAGAATTAGGAAAAGAACACAATAATTGACAAAATTTGTATTAAGGAACAAAGCTAATTAAACTCGCATACTAGTGAGCTGAAACGACATTCACACGTTACATCAAGCGATTATAACGCAAAGAAAGCAGGAAGAAGCAAGACTCGCGCTTCGCCCAAATTCGTTTACTTTCTGTTACTACGTTTTTATCGAGGGATGAGATCATTATGCCGGTCCTTCCTCCCCTCCTCCCCCGTGTCCCGGTCTAACGTCTTGCATCGCCACCTTTTCGGCCAACATCCTCTCATCCCTTGCTATCCGCGCCCCGTTTGCTTCTCGCCTCTTCGCGCGACAGTAATTTTACTTAATTAAATTCCGTTCTTTCTGCCTTTGCTACTACGACCCCTCTGGCCATCCTCATCCCCATTCTTCTATCGCTCACCGAGGATCGTCACTGATTTTTCTCGGCCCTCTCACTCCTCTCGCTTCAAACGATTTTTCCACGATTCCGTGCTCGTTCAGCCAAGCTAAAACCGTTGACAATATGCGACGCAAGTTTCTAGCTTTTTAAGCAGTCAACTGTTGTGTCGAACTTTTGCGAAATTGTCGTTTTCTTCTTCTTTTTTTTTACCGCTTTATTTCGTTTCGTTCTATTCCACGGACCTCGAATTCCTCGTAAATTCTAAGTCACGCCTAAATCTTTGTGAAATGGTAATTCGTACATTTATGGAAAATTTGAAAAGGTGCAAATACACAGAATGCACGTAATAACTCTAAAACACTTGCCTATCCAGTTTCTATTTTTCAAAGTATATATTCATGAAAATATGAATTTGCATAAAAATCCGCAATCTATATAGAAATTAGCACCGAAATCAGGTGTATTAGGCGTAGAAATGAATTCTTCCGACTGTTGGGTACAATCAAAATTTCATTAATCATCGAAATAATTTCCATTATCGTTGACAATTTTTTGCCATTTTTCTTCGCGAATAGCATCGCGATAGAAATTCGGTGCCTTTGAAACAGTTGCCTGAATCCAGTCGCAAAGAATTTATTTCCACACCTAATACACGAAGAAGAAAGACATTTTTTACAAATGGAGTAAAAATAGATTATGGAAATCGTAGAAATAATGCAAAAAACGAGGGAGAAGAAAATGTCTGTATAGCGAGTCTCGTTGGATAGGTAATATTTGCGGGTACTCGTTAAGCGGCGCAAGAATTAAAGGACAAGGGAGGGGTGGCTTGCCGCGGACTTGGGGGTTTCTTATTACCACTTCATCTGCAATTAACATTTATGGACGGCAACTGTCGGCTGGAAAAACTAATTAAATATTCCATAGCACGTTGAATAGGGGTTGTTCCTTTACTTACCAGCTTGGAGCTAAGAATGAGGAACGTGGAAATCAAATGAAAGTTTAAGAAGTGAATATAGCGTTTAGCAGAAACTTTATCCATTGAATAATTACTATCTGTGTCATCTGGAATTTTTGTAACGTGGTCAATTTGCTAGAGGTATTTTTATTGGGTGAAACGAATATATCTGTGGTTTTAAGGCGAAACGAGATAAGTCACATTTTCCAAAAATTTTATTGAGGCCCGGAAGACAGTATTTTCGCTCTCAGAAGAAAGAGAATGCATCGAAATAATTTCCAAGTTCAAGATTTATTCTATATAAAATTAAGGAAATTAAAATTAGTAAATTTCCAAAAATTTTTGAAACAATTGACAAATATTTGCGTTTCGTATTAATTTTCAAGTCCTAAATTTATTCCACATAAATTTTCGGGAACATTTGACAATATTTGCGTTTCATATCAATTGCAAAAAAATGCAATTGGCGTGAGTAGGCAAATAAACGTTTCTTACGTTAGTAAGAGCAACAAATGACGTAGTTAGTTAGGCGTAATTAATGCTAACTAACTATGCATGAGCTTCTTATGCGATAAGAAGAATAACGAAATCTCCACCTGTATGTTGTTGATTTCTGCGACAACATTCTAAAATTTTACTGCTCAAGCTTTATTCAATTAGTTACACAGCTAATGTTGATGGTTCGATTTATTTTTACCGTGTTCCAATATGTTTTAAACGTTATGGTTTTTAAATAAATATCCCAACGAATCGTGTTTCATTTTAAATAGCCTCGTTCGTTTTACTCTGCTACGTTTTGTAAACTGTTATCCTTTTTCTTTCCTTATTTGTGTATAAATTTGCGTAACACCATGAATGACAATTGTAATCAATCTTAATAGGTATTTGTTACTGGTATTTATATTTATATGTCGCGTTCCGCGCTCTCGTGTAATGATTTTTCATTCGATCTTTTAACCTTTTGACGCGATACATTATATTATTAAAA